TTTTTTTTTTCATATAATATACTTATATAGTTTCAAGCAAAGATCGTGTCTATTTATGAGGTGTTTATATAAGTAGGGGCAGGCATCAACATGTCGTGATTTGCACCAATGCCAACGCGCCTGAGTTGCTGGAGATACTCTTGAGGAAATCAGCGGCAGAATTTGCAGAAGAAGGGTCTTGGAGCAAGGACAGTTGGCTTAAAAGGCTTTTAGGTATACGAACATTCAGCAAAGATCCTGGGTGCTCACCTGTTTCAGAGACAAAATATGCACTCAAGATATAAGTGCGGAAATCAACCATAGAAAGAGGCACGGGCCGGGGGAGTGTGCTGTCCTAGAAGATGACCTTGAAGAAAAGCCTTTGAATTTCATGAGGTGGTTGGGCAGAAGGACACCCCACGCACTTAAATGTCTTGTGATCCCCAATCCCGGAGAGAGTGTTGATGAAATCAGCCACCGCAGTTGCAGCAGAAGGAGGATCTTGGAGCAATGCAAGTTGGTGTAAAGGTATGTATATAAAAGGGTACTAGGGACATGCGATGAGATGAGACATATGTTGGCTGCTCTCACTTGTTTCTTGAGACACACCAATGCACTGGAGATTTCTGTTGAGGACATCAGCCACAGGAAGAGCCAAGGGCAGAATTGTGCAGTCCAGAACTTTGTTCATATAATATACTTATATATACTTATACTTATATATTTTCAATCAAAGATCATTTCTATGTTTATATATATAAGTAGGGGCAGGCATCAACATGTCGTGATTTGCACCAATGCCAACGTGCCTGAGTTGCTGGAGATACTCTTGACGAAATCAGCGGCAGAATTTGCAGAAGAAGGGTCTTGGAGCAAGGACAGTTGGCTTAAAAGGCTTTTAGGAAAAGGAACATGCAGCAAAGATCCTGGGTGCTCACCTGTTTCAGAGACAACATTTGCACGATATAGGTGCGGAAATCAACCATAGAAAGAGGCACGGGCGGGGCAGTGTGCTGTCCTAGAAGATGACTTTGAAGAAAAGCCTTTGAATTTCATGAGGTGGTTGGGCAGAAGGACACCCCACGCACTTAAATGTTTTGTGATGCCCCAATCCCGGAGAGAGTGTTGATGAAATCAGCCACCGCAGTTGCAGCAGAAGGAGGATCTTGGAGCAATGCAAGTTGGTGTAAAATTATGTATATAAAAGGGTACTATTACTAGGGACATGCGATGAGATGAGACATATGTTGGCTGCTCTCACTTGTTTCTTGAGACACACCAATGCACTGGAGATTTCTGTTGAGGAAGTCAGCCACAGAAAGAGCCAAGGGCAGAATTGTGCAGTCCGAAGAATGACCTTCAATGCAAAGGTACTTTTGTACACAATGAGGCTCTTACAATAGATAGGGACATGCGGCGGGAAGTGCACTCAGCTGTTTCTGAGATGCGCAAGGGATAGATTGAGGAACTCAAACCGGATCCACCGGCACACAGATCCGGATCCACCGAATCCGAGGTTGGACACACAAAAGTTCTTCGAGTCAGGTCGGAGCAAATCGGAGAGAGAACGAGTCGTGAGCCGAACGAGAACGGCACGACGAGTCGTGCGGGATTGAGAGCCTTTCACCTTTGTGCGAAATTTTCGTAAAAGGAAGAGCGCCAGCAGGAGGCTACTAGGAACAGAGTGCCTCGCTACTAGTAACAAGTGCCTTACTAGTAGTAACAAGAAGCTATTAACATAATGAACTAACATTAATATTGTTTCTAATAGCTTCTTGTTACTACTAGTAAGGCACTTGTTACTAGTAGCGAGGCACTTGTTACTTGTTACCAAAACTCCGAAAAGTGACAAGCCAAGGGCAAGAGCGGCAGCGACAGTTGATTTCTTGTTCTGTTGAGGGGCTTGAAGCCCAAATGAGAGCGACAGGAACCTGGGGAGGGGACATGCACGAACATGTTGGAACCAACTTTTGTGTGAACTCAACTCCCGGAGGAGCTTAGCAGCTTGGGTTTGTGAACCTAATAGCGAACCTAATAGCGATGGCCTCCAAGAAGCCAAGCGACGGCCTCCAACCTAATAGCAATGGCCTCCAACCCAATAGCGATGGCCTTCAACCTGTTAGCGATGGTCTCCAACCTAATAGCGATGGCATCCAACCTAATATCGATGGCCTCCAACCTAAGAGCGATCGCCTCCAACCTAATACCGATGTCCTCCAAGCTAAGACCGATGGCCTCCAACCTAAGAGCGACGGCCTCCAACCTAATAGCGATGGCATCCAACCTAATAGCGATGACCTCCAACCCAATAGCGATGGCCTCCAACCTAGAAGCGATGGCCTCCAACCTAAGAGCGATCGCCTCCAACCTAATACCGTCCTCCAAGCTAAGACCGATGGCCTCCAACCTAAAAGCGACGGCCTCCAACCTAATAGCGATGGCCTCCAATCTAAGAGTGATGGCCTCCAAGGATGGCCTCCAACCTAAGAGATCTACGAGCGATAGCCTCCAACTTAATCGCGTTGTTCTCCAACCTTAGAGCGAATGCCTTCAACCTAATAGCGATGGCCTTCAACCTAAGAAAGGTGGCCTCCAACCTAAGAGCGATGGCCTCCAACCTAAGAGCGGCCTCCAACCTAAGAGCGATTGGCTTCAACCTACTAGCGATGGCCTCCAGCCTAATAGCCATGGCCTTCAACCTAAGAGCGATGGCCTCCAACGTAAGAGCGATGGCCTCCAACCTAATAGCGATGGCCTCCAACCCAATAGCGATGGCCTCCAACGTAAGAGTGATGGCCTCCAATGTAAGAGCGATGGCCTCCAACCTAAGAGTGATGGCCTCCAACGTAAGAGCGATGGCCTCCAACGTAAGAGCGATGGCCTCTAACCTAATAGCGATGGCCTCCAACCTAATAGCGATGGCCTCCAACGTAAGAGCGATGGCCTCCAACCTAATAGCTATGGCCTCCAACCTGTCAACTCCCATCTCCCGGAGGAGCTTGGGTTTGTGTTCGGTCACTTGCACTACAATTTTCTGAATGCACTTACTGAAAAGATCAACGAGCTTTCATCAGAGTTCAATGCAGAGAGAATCATTGCAATGGGGCGTCAGAGCTGCATTCTTCAAGATTATTCAAAGGGAAACAGACAAAACCAGCTTTGGCAAGCATGTTTGATTGGAAGAGCCAGAAGAACCGTGGGACCTTACAGTAAGGTACAGCATGGGTGGCTTTGGCGCTATTCAGCTGGGCTGTTTCGCCCCCGAGCTCTTTGATGCAGTCGTGTCGGTGGCGGGCTATGGGATGGGCACTTCCGAGCCAAACAGTGGCTATGGAGCACCGCAGCCCGTCAGTGGTGCCTTTGAGAAAACTATGTTTAGGACACTACTAGGTGGAGGCCATCGCTATTAGGTTGACAAGGACACTACTAGGTGGAGGCCATTGCTATTAGGTT